AGCAACAATTCAAATGTATAATATATATATATATATATATATATATATATATATATATATATATATATATATATTATTTATTTATTTTCGGTTCGGCATGGGATTACCAAAAGATGGAGTAGGCAATACCAAATCTTGTACCAAAATTTTGGGATCAGTTCAGTATTTCATCTAGAAAATTTTGGAAATTTTGGTTTGGGGATTGGGATTTTTTTTGGTTTGGTTCGGGATTTTTGGGATTTTTCCCAGTCCTATTATCTACATTAAGGGAGAGGGGTTGGGCTTAGCCTCACACTAGTGATAATATGTTTCAAATTTGCCTTTGGCGAAAATCGAACATAAGACTTCTTACTTATAAGTGAGAAAGAATACCACTAAATCGTAGTACTAAGTGGCCTAAGACCCTTTATTAACAAGTGAAGAGAAATAATACTAGATTGTAGTACTAAGTGGCATGTCCTGATGATTAAATAGATGTATTTGAGGATTTTTGGTTAGTCTTCCGTACAATTTATTGTTAAGAAAAAGCTCATTATGAGTTTATCTTATGCGAAAATTTTCAGTTTTACGACGGTTACAAACTTGAGAAATTTGGATAACTAGCCATATTTTGTACCACTAAATGATTTTTAGCCTACTTTTTATTATTCTTACAAATTTAACCAAAAATTCATACAAAAGTTCTAAATTGCCTCCTCTCTTCTCCCTTGTCTCTTCCCCCTCTTTCCTAGCTCCCACACCACCCGTCTCTTCTCCCAAATCCACCACCACTGCCGCACCCACTACGACTAATGCCAGTCTCAGGTATTGAATTATGGACTGCAAATTCTTTCATTCTCCCATCTTCCCTATACGGCCTTACGACTACTCTTTAACATTCATGTATATCACAAAAACCTTCTTTTCCGGAAGCTCGTATTCGATTATTTAAAATTGGATTTGTAGCATCTTGACAAGCCTGGGAAAGCCTTCTATGTAGTAAGGTCGATTTATGCGAAAAAGGAAACATATGCTTACATTGCTAACACCAGACAATAATGGGGCAATCTTCTCGCTACTCCTTTTGTTTTTCTACATATTTTTTCATTCCAACGCACATATTGCCTTGCATCAGTTTTGAGAGCCTAATTGGATTTGGGAGCAGAAACGGTGTGGTGGTGGGGCTGTGGTGGACTGGTGGGAGTCAAAGAGAGGGGGAAGATAGTTAAGATACAAGGGAGAAGGGAGGGGTAATGTAGAACTTTTGCATGCATTTTTGGTTAAATTTGTAAGAATAATAAAAAGTAGGCTACAAATCATTTTGTGGTACAAAATATGGTTAGTTATCCAAATTCCCCTACAAACTTTTACCACATCCAAAAATGAGCGCAAGCAAACAGCCCCTAACCAAGTCTTCTTCACATCCGAGTTCCCAAACTCAGAAAAACGCACGTTGTTTTTCAGAAAAGAAGGTTCGGAAGGAAAGCACACAAAGCCCTTTACTTGTTAGTCCCTGTTTGGTCTGTCCTTGTTATAACAAGAACAGAAATATCTCCCAAATTGAAAACACAAACCAAAAGCACCAAAAAACACACTACAACTCTCACAGGTTCCATCCAACCTCACCCACGCTCGACTCAGGTGCTCTCTCTCTCTCTCTCTCATCCTTCTTTGGTCAATTTGCTTCTTGGGTTTTCAATTCACTCCAAAATCTCAACTGGGCTTCTTTCATTTAGTAAATTGTTGCTCAAATCTGTTAATTTTGTTTGCGTTTTTGCTTCTGCTAATATTTCTTGCTACATTTTGAATTTCAGGAAGATATTGTGATCTATATAATGTTTTTTTTTTTTTTTTTTTTTTTGTAATTTTTTGTGAGCTCTTGAATGGTCAACGTTTGGTTCCCAATGATTTCTTTCTTTCTAATTTTAGTAATTTGATCAAAATTTTATATCCCTTATTCAATTTGATTGAGAAATTGGGAAATTTGCTTCTGATGCTGTAATTCTGGTGAATATACAGGTGAAAGCATTGTCTGAAAATTACGGTTTTAGGTTTTCGATTGAAGATCATGTGTTCTGTGATCTGGGTTTTGTTGGAGAATTCGAGGATTCGATGAGGATCTGGTTTTGGTGAATTCTGGGAAGTGGAGTGGGGGGAAAATGGTGCCCAATCAGAGCTATTCTCGTATCGACACTTTGGAGCTGAAAGCTCTAATTATCCAAAAGATTGGGCATCAGAGAGCTGGCAAATACTTTGATCTGATGAGAAGATTGTTTAGTTCGAAGATTAGTAAGTGCGAATTTGACAAGTTTTGCAATCGGATTATTGGGAGGGAAAATGCCAATCTTCATAACCTGCTTATTAAGTCAATCCTCAAGAATGCCTGCCTCGCGAAAGTTCCGCCCTTGACCAGTGTTCGGAAAAAGGGAAGTACCCGTAATGTTAAAGTAGCAAATGGTTATCAGAAGGATGGTCTTCACTCGATTAATGCAGATGCATTTTCTCCATCCCCTCACAATATCCTGTCTCCAGTTAATCGAGAACGCAAGTTTCAGGACCGCCCAAGTCCTTTGAGGCCAAATGGAAAGTCCCAACATTTTTCCAAAGCACAAGAGCAGCAAAGTGCTACTGAATTGCTTTCTCTTGGAAGCAGGCCGCCTGTTGAAGTTGCCTCTGTAGAAGATGGAGAAGAGGTCGAACAGGATGCAGGAAGCCCTGCTATTCAAAGTAGAAGCCCAGTAACAGCTCCTCTCGGAATATATTTGGGTGGATCACGTAAAGCTCTTCCTAATGTATCAGTATGTAGCACTTACCACCCTTTGACCTGTCAAAACAGTGGTGAGCTACCTGATGCCAGATCATTAAGAAGTCGTTTGGAGCGGAAGTTGGAGAAGGAGGGTATTACTGTCGCTGTAGACTGTGCTAACCTCTTGAATAATGGATTGGATGCTTATCTGAAGAGGTTAATGGAACCTTGTATTCGGCTAGCCGGGACAAGACATGGCAGTGATCACTTAAAACAACTAGGTGGTTCATATCCGTACAACAGTGGTTCAAATGGAATGTTGATTGGGAGACATATGCAAAGAGAAACAAAATCTACTTATGCAACCATGTCAGATTTTTCTGCATCAGTGGAGCTAAATCCCAAAATGCTTGGTGTAGATTGGCCCATACAGCTCGAGAAGATTGTCTTGCGTGCATCTGAAGAGTGAGCAAAACCTTATACACAATCAGCAATTGATGAGATCGTGAGCCATGAAATTGCACCCTCATTTACTTACAGTTCAGTGTTTAGAGTCAATTCTTTAACCTTATCGACTTTTAGCCTTTGCCTGTTTACGGAGTTTTTGAAGCATTGGAATAGGGAATAAGTTGTAGATTATGTGAGAAATTTTGGGTTTAGGTTGCGTTTAGATGTAGGCTTGATAATTGTTGGGGCATGTTAATATGATAGTATGTAAACTTTTCGATACAAGCAGGACATCAAAAGTGTGAAGAATTTTTCGCACAATTCTTCAACGGAAAATGTTTCAGCTCCCTTGTTTATTATTACCATGTTATGAGAAAATGCGTTATTCAGCGTTCAAATTATTGCGGTTGGAAAAATAACATACTACATAATTTACTTTTCTTGCTTATGTTTTTTTAACTTGTGTTTTTGATTAATCTCAACTTGAGTTTGTATCGCATTAATCTCAACCAAGGTTGAATTAATCCGACCATGTAGGTTACGTAGTTCTTACTTCTATGTCCATTGCTGCTTGGTCAAACTTGTATCATTGCTCCTCTCAGCTTTTCAGCAAGGCTCTTCATCGGCATTGCGTTGGTTGAGGGATTGCTTCAATTTCTTCTTCTCGAGGAACGCTCATCGAAAAGTGATTGCAAGCTCGTTGTGTTTTGTAGCAGGTGAGGTTTTGAATATCAAGCATATTAAACTGTTCGAAGTAAGCTGTAACATCACTGGTAGCTCATGATTCGTTGCCTTATATATAAATCATGCATCTCTTTGAATGTGTTGCTTAGAAACCATGTTTCCCAACTCAGATTATGGGACCTTTCCCTTCGAAGGCGCTTGTTAATTCTTAGGAATGAATATCTGCTGTCTATGATGATTAATCTGATCTATGCTAAGATCTTCTGGTTATCTGTTTGTTTGTTATTTAGAAGAACTTTTCGGCAACAAAATCGGGTAAGAATCCATCTGCTGTCTGAATCTTCTGTCCTGTGGTCATTCCACGTCTGTATAGGCACCGTCTTTCTTCTCTAAACTTGTATCGCACTGTCGATTTGCTTCTAAATTTTTATTTTGTCGAGTTTCCTCCTTGAACTATATGGTTAATTTCCCCCCTCCGCTCATGTTTAATCACATTCTATCCAATTTTCCGTCAAAAAAGGTCACATGCCGGTCATAGGTGTTATTTTTGCTTTCTTAATGTTCTCTGTTAGTCCATCTAGTTTTCCGTCTAAAAAAGTCTCGTGTTGGTTATAAAAGTTATTTGTTATGTTTTCTCTCTCGAAATGCAACAATCTCAACGAAAGTTGGATAATATGTGGGAATACATGACTGTAGAGGGGAAATATGTCTAAAAAACTTAAGAAATCGGTTGTGGCTTCAATGCTACTATCATTCCCGTGTCATTCAATGCCACGTAGTATCGAAGAAATTTCCAAGGGAATCAGCAGTAGACTACGAGTTAAGCAGAGGAAACGGCAATATTATCATTACTTGGTCTCCATATCTTCCCATCTCATTCCATTAACCCCATGGTTTTAGTTTTACAGTCCTGAAAGCAAATCTGCTGAGGACTGTATTCAGGTTTTGGGTTTCTTTTAGCTCCAGTTGTATGAAGAATCAGAAACTCACCAAAGACCAACCGGAAAAACGCCTTTCGTCATGTCTGTCGACCTGTTCTGAAAACCTTTAATTGCTTGCCCTAGATCCTTGTCATGCATAATATCAGCTGACAGAGCGGGAAGACCAATGTAATGTCCAACCGAAGTTTTGAATCCTACAGTCGTTTGTTTCAGACCAAACAAACTCGTAATTGATACTTCCACCGTCTTCAACAACCTACTGCTTTATACAAAACCCTCAAAGTTTCCCAACAACATAAATACATAATGTCTGAATGTTTTACACGTATGGTGAAAAACACGATCTAAATGTAATTACCAATGAATCTAATTCATAAATAGTGTAGCTCATTCTAGAATTCATAAAGAGAGCGAGATTCATGGCCTGCGCTTCAACCATGGTTCGGCCGTGGATGTCATGCCTGCGTTTCTGCAAAGGCATCCAGAAGGTTCACCGTGTAAGGCATCACAAGCAACTTCCAAGCAGGGTTTGTTGAGACATGTCTAAATCTTGAAGATGAGACTAGTAAAAAGAATAGGCGCCTACAGTCAATCAGCTAGGACGTTGTGCCTGCTTTCTCCAGGCCTGCCATGTACGTGATGTAAATGGTCCACAGATACGAAAATCCATTGCTCACTAATGGCTGTTCAATATGTGAGCATCAGAAACAAAGTTCACAAGTTAGTTTCCAGATCCTGTCAAATATGCAGGTTTAACCCGTGTTTTGTATTCTCAATTTCACGTAAATCCAAAATCCAAAAAAAATTTGATAAAGGCCAAGACAAAAGAAAGACTTCCACGTACCTGTAAATGGACAGGAATGAATCTGAATGTGATAAAATCACATATTGGCCAGTACATAACGCCATTTAACAATGTAGGGAACAAGTCTCGCTGTAGGCGGGCAACAATTTCTCCACCATTTTCACCTGGAATTGGCAATCATGGTAACAACTTATTAGACCATATGACATTAATATGAAGCACCAACGGTATCACACATCTCTCCGCAGGCACAACTTCACTCTAATTTGCAAACTTCACAGAGGTAAATTTCTTAATCAGCAACTAAAGGTTTTCTTTGAAGAATCAATTAACATAGAGAGGTGTTTATACACATTCATTATGCATCAAAGTCTTGCCTACAAACAGGGGTTGTGTCCCCAAAGTTTCAAATGTCGAAAATCTCAAGATTGAAACTCAGTACATCTAGACCATTTTTATAGTCAACTATAACTGGACTTGCACAATATGTTTACAAAAATCCGCTACTTTCAGTTTCAGCATCCTATGATGAACTCTTCATCAAAGTGATGCTCAAGTATATGAACCGGAGAGCCAATTACCAAAGGAACTTGGTACTACGAAGTGTAGCAGGCTCAATCACGATTTTGTCACCGAATAAAATCTAAAAGAACCTAGTTCACAATCATTGACAAATTAGTCTAAGTTCCACCTAATTCAACCCCGGAAGCTTCAACTTTCCTAAACAAAATTATACCCAAAATTTAACACACCACACACCATTCATCATAAACACTTGCAAAAATACAATATTTCGACAAAATCAAACATACAAACATCATTCATCATAAAAATTGTGTCATTAAGAGAGAAGCTTTATGCATACCTTGTAGACAAGCATTCAAGGAGAAGAAAGCAAACGTCATTGTAGGTCCAAAAAGCACCTGCCCCATTGCCATTTTCTTCAATGTCGAAAACATATCCCGTTTTGGGTAAGATTTCGACATGAAATTGAACCAGAAATGCAGCGACGGACCCAAAACCAGCATCCCATATCCAGCCATGCGCGCAGTCCTTACAAGATCATAAGATTCTGAAAGGGATGATTTTGCTAATGTCTGATAAAGATCATTACTTCATTAGATACAAGAGCCAAACTGACGAAATGGGTAACTACAAAATTCCCAAAAGTGAAGATATAACTACAGTTCGACCCACCTGGGAGGACAAATCGGCGGCGGTGTAAATAAGCGCCGCGGTGACACTCTTGGTCAAAACGGGGCGGGACTGGATCATACCCAGGTACCATCCCACGAACCCAAGCTTGGAGACCGACGGCGCTTCGACGGAGGACTTGGCGGAGGAGAAGGCGGAGGAGAAGACAGAGGGGGACAGGTCGTAGTCTCTGGCTTTGCGGAAGACATGAGGGAAGCGGAGGTAGCCTTTGGAGTGGGTTTGCGTTTGGGTTTGGAGCAGCTTCGGGTCTCCGATCGGGTCGGTGATGGAGTTCTTCTGTAACAGGCGGGTGAGGTTGGTGCTCCGGCGTAAAGCGGCCGTCATGGTGGCGGATGTTGGTTTTTTTGGCCGCGGAGCCTGTGAAGCTGAGACGTGGGGGTTTTAGGGAGAGAGGGGGTTTTAACAAAAAGGGAAGAGGGACGTGTGGGGAGTTATATAGGGAGTGACGTTTTGGTAAATTTGTTGGCAAGTTTGGGGAGTTTGTTTTAAATATTAGAAATTATTTGGGTTCAAATCTCAATTCTGTTTGCTCGACTCTATAAATCAAGTTTGTACTCGCCTTCCTGGCCTAGAGTTTTATTTTTATTATTATTATTTTTTTGTATTTTTATGAACATTGTGCAATATTATGTTGATGTACATTTGTGATTCTCCCTCATTGTCAAACTTCTTCCACTCTTTTAGTGATTGGAGAAACTGCTTAAGAATATGTAAATGTTTATGAGATTTGAGAGTGGATATGAGTAGACTTGTTCTTTCATTGGGGCGAGCTAAACTTTTTAAGTAATACGTTTAGTGATTGAATTAAGCTGATTATGAAAAACAATTTTAATTTACGATGAAATAGAAAAATTCTAGTCAATCTTGATTCGATGTTTTGAATATAAGATATAGTTACGATATTTATTAAGAATAAATATAAAAACACTTCTAAAATAAATTATTACTTTTTTATTATCGAAAACCCCGCAAGACAAAATATAATTTTCACATCATGTAAATTTTAAGTCAATGATAAATCATATTGGTAAATGTTCAAATTATTTGCACCCAGAAAATATTATGGCCTCTCTTTGGTCATTCATGAAACGTAACAGTTGTTCACCCACCTATCCACCCTTAAATGGGGCTAACTCCTCGTTATCTCCTCAATTTAAAAAAACAAAAAACAAACCAAGCATGCATTCTTCTCGCGGACTCCCTCCTAGCTCTAGCTTCCAAAATTCCCAATTAGTTATTTGTATCTCAATGATCTGATACCTCCAATGGGTGGAGGAGGTGGATGTGGACATGGAGGACGAGAGGGAGGAAGCTTTTGATGAGGCGGTGGGAATTCTTGAAGCAGAGCGAGCAAGAAGGGAGTCGGCAAGATATTTAGTCAACAAAGAATGACAGAGACAAACGATAATGAAGGAGTTAATTCAAGAGAGTAAATATTTTAGTAAATTTGATTGTAAATAAGGATTTTGGCAAATACGATTAGCAGAAGAATCAATTTAGTGTACATCTTTTACTTGTCCAGAATGACATTTTGAGTGGCTAGTTATGTCATTTGGACTTAAAAATGCTCCTTCAATCTTTCAAAGAAAGATTGATCAAATTTTCAAAAAATATGATAATTTTTGTAGTGTTTATGTAGATGATATTTTAGTACATAGTAAAAATAAAAATGAACATAGGAACTATTTAGAGATAGTATTACAAGAATTTATCAATAATGGAATTGTGATTAGCAAAAATAAAATAGCATTAAAAAAGTAAGATATAGAATTTTTAGGAATGTATATCAAGTCAGGTACAATACAATTACAAGATCATATAGCCAAAACGGTGTTAGAATTTCCAAACAAATTAGAAGATAAGAAACAGTTACAAGCATTTTTAGGATTGTTAAATTATGCAAGAAATTTAATCCCTGATTTAGGAAGAAAAATAGCAGTATTACATAGTAAAACTAGCAAAATAGGACAAAAATATTGTAATAGTGAAGATATTAAATTAGTTCAAAATATAAAAGAAGAAATTACTAAACTTAAGCCATTAACATTACCATTAGATGATAGTTACAAGATAGTTGAAACAGATGCTTCATCCTTAGGATGGGTAGGTATATTATACCAGAAAAAGCATAAGGAGTCTCCAAAGTCTGATGAGCAAGTTTGTAGATATTCATCAGGAAAATTTAGTGATGTACAGTCAAGATTACCATCAACAGATTTAGAAATTTTAGGAATAATTAACTCACTTGAAGTATTCTCTTTATTTTTACATAATGAAGTATTTACAATTAGAACAGATTGTCAAAATATAGTTTCTCATTATAACAAGATACATGCTAATAAACAGGCAGACCGAAGATGGGTTAATTTTGTTGATTCAATTACAGGAAATGATTTTAAACCAATTTTTGAACATATAAAAGGTAATGACAATACATTAGCCGATATCTTATCAAGATTAATTTGTTGAACATGTATGGAATATCGTGGACCATCATCCTCAAATAGCACAAGACCACAAGGCAGAAAAGCACATTTCAGTAGCATAATGATGCACCATCAACCTCCACCATTTAGTGGATTCCAAAATAGCATAAGCAGACCAGCATCACCACCAGTACCTACTTTCAACTTTAATGGCAATATTGTTGAAGGAATCAGAAATCCAACTCTGAGATATAGGTCAAGAGCACCAGGACTTTCTGATAGGCAACATGTTCTCTTAGATAATTTTTGGAATATCCAAATCAAACAACCAAGCATGAGGCTAGGTCATGAAAAATTAATTAGAGCCTTAGAACAAGAGTTTGATAGTTTTAACTTCAATTTCCATCAAAGCCAGCAATATATTCATTCTCTTGAACACAAACTCCAAGCCATTTCTAGAGACAATGAGTCATTACTTAGTAAGTTTACCAAAATGAACCAAGAACTTCAATCTCTTAGAATGCAGCAAAAGGCAAGTGACACCTTGAAAAGAAAATTGAAAATAGGTTTAGAAATTGATCAAACATAAGAATAAAGGAAAAGAGGTTATTGAACCCATAGAACAAAAGGCTAATGAGCCCATAGAAGAAATTAAGATTGAGCTCTTAGAAGAAGACATTGAAATGGAGCAACATCAAAATAATGAGCAGCATCAGATTCTGAGTGACAAAGAAAAACAAGAAAAATATGAAAGTTTTCTTAGGAATATATCTTCAGACTTAATATTAGATGATATTTTATTAAAAGAAATTTCAAAAGAAAAATTAAGAATAATGCCACTAGATATGCAAAATGAGATCATGAGCAGAGCATCAAAGTCCATGAAAGAGTTACAATTATAGTTACAATGCACTTTGTATTAGTCCATCTTTGATCTAAAACCAATGATGGATATTATTACAAAGATGTATCCACCATGTCTTTGTGATAGTACAGAGAATTGTATTTGTAAACTAAAGGTTAACATAGCTGTGGGCATGATTAACATGAGAGATTTTATACCATGACATTTTAGTTATGAGCATCAGAAAAAGCATAATGTTGTAGAAGTTACCCCAGCCTTACTATTAGAGTTTGGCTATCTTGATAAAATATTCATTAACCATATCTCCCAATTAGAAAGATGGAAAGAAATTTGCATAAGTTTTATTAGTAGTCCTCCAGATTGGTATGTACATATGCATAAGGAGAAAGCTAGGCATATAAATATGATTAATGAAAAGTCATTTAGAATATCCCCTATCTCCTCACATAGGTGAACTCCTTCATATGAAAATATTCTAAAATTTCGAAGGATCCAAATGCTAGCCTTAGATGATTTTGAAGATTTTAGGTATGATATGGTATTAGTAGCAGAAGAAGAAAAAATGTATATTTACAGCAAGACAATGATCAATTATCAGCCCTATTGGAAGCCTTAAAATTTCAAAGAAGAAACATCAGAAATGTACTACAAAGTAAAAGAAGATAGAGAGAGAGAGATGCAGAGCTGGTAGAAGGAAATGAACAGTACTGGAACCATTTGACAGAAGAAGAGCTACATAACATCGACAATATGATGGAAGCTTGAAGAGCTGACAACAAATTAGCAAAAGTAGCATAAGATGAATAGCATTATGCAAAATAATGTATTGTTACACAAAAATATCAACATCATTGTGGACCCCGCTACAATAATGAAATAGCAACAATAATGAAATAATGGCATAAAAGTAAATAAAGAAAAGAGTTTGACCCATTATAGACTTTTCATACATAAAATGTTCTTTTGATTAAGAATGAATAGTGGAAAGTCTTTTTTATTAGAACTCCATTTTTTATGTACAATATGAATTACTGTGTTATTATATTACTAATTCATATCGTTTTGCATTTTGAACTAGCAATGACACGAGATGAATATAAATTGGTAAATCCGAACACAACCCATGTAGCTCATCCAGCTCTTGCTTAGGGTGAAAATTATGAGGACAAGATTTTGTTACCCTAATACAAGCGATATTGAGGAAGAAACATTTGAACTTAGGACTTACAATGTAAGAAAGAATATTCTTAACCAACTAAGCTACAAACCTTGCCAAAACGCTTTTAAACAATACAAGTATTGGTTTTTGTATTATATAGCCTCAGCAGCTGCTTTGCTTTACAGAAACTCTGCCAAAAGTTATACTGTGGCTTCGTACAAATGAATACGAGGGATAATAGTGATGGTTCCAATCTCACAATCATTTTATTTTTGCTTGCAATTGTGTTTTCTTTCATATCCATACATTAAGGGTGTACTGTTTTCAGATACATAACATAATTAGAGATACGATGCTGCTTCTTTATCATACAATGTTTACTGTCTCTTTAACGGATGATCTGCGAATTCCATCCTCTTCTTCAGCACCCAAAGTCGTAGGATACCAGCCCTTTCAGCTCGGGGCCGTTAAGTCTGTTGTTTTCAAAACTGAAACAGAACATCAGGATGCAAACACGTTAGAACTAGCAAGATTCGTAAATGAGTAATTTAGTTTCTGAAAAGAACTTGATATAACTACTTCTGTAAAATAATCTTGAGTGGAGTTTGAGATTTTAGTTTATGAGTATTCATTCAAATCATCATGCTTACCACACTCCAGACTCACTCTAAGACTAACTATCGATTAGCGATATAAATATATAACTGCAACATTAAAATTATCCAAACTCATTAAGACCATGTCTAGGCGAGCGTTTACCATCTATCTGGTCTCATTATCTTGGACCTGAATGCGATGGCCATGGTTTTAATGTATATTTGGTTTTCTCAGAGAGCATCTAAAATGCGTAATGCTTATTAGACACACAACACATTTTCAATGGCCACATTCGACGAAGGCTGAAGCAATAGCCTCCCCCGGATGGCTAAACCTATCATATCAACCAACTATGAAACTCAAAACTCATTTATAAATACTTTGTTTCTTCAGGCAATGGTTGGTTCCTGTAAGTTAGCAAAATGGAAGCAACAAGCAATGTTAGGTCACTTTGTTATGTAACCCGGTGCCTACTGCACATGATTGAGAGGATCAAAGCTAGGAGAGTGACAGAAGTGATACCTTTCCGTTGGGAAAGCCCCAAATGGACCATCAACTGGAATTGTTCCGCACAGATCGTTGTTAGAAACATCACTGCCACAATAAAATCGCATAAGAAAACTGCTAGTAAGACAGTACATACCAAACAAATCATCTTAGAAACAACAATATACTCAGACTTCAGATTTTTCGTTTCCAGTTCTCTGAAAATTAGGACTTACAAAACTTTGAGGTCAGAGAGGCCAACGAGTTTCCTCGGGATAGATCCCGTTAGTTTGTTGTTGTTAAGCCGCCTGCGTATCAATTTAATCATATTCAATACAAATTAGTTACAATCTGTGAAAGACAGTCAATGTTGAAAAGTTATGGAAACTCGATCTAAAAGTACTTACAGAAATCTGAGTGACTTCAAATTGGCGAAAGATTTCGGGATTTCTCCTTCAAACCTGTTGTCATACAAATCCATGCTAACAAGGCTTTTCAAGCTCCCCAACTCCTCTGGGATTTTACCACTTATGTCGTTTCTATAAAGTTCCCTGAAATTAAAAAAAAATCACTCAATCAATTCTGACTTCTCCAATATGTTCATCAAGTCAAAATTTGATCAATCTTTTTTCCACAATCACTTAATCAGGTTTAATAAGTGAAATTTCTACAATTCTAAAAGTTCAAAACAGTACAAACATGGAAACTTTTTCTTTCCTAGATTTTCTGAGCAACCAAACACAGCATAAGAAAAAACTTGGTATGAGAAGAGGAAGCATACAAGTACTGCAGGTGCTTCAGCTGCCCAAGTTCTGGCCCCAAACTCCCAGAAATGTTAGAGTTACCCAAATCCCTGAAATCCAAAACAAGAAAGTTAATCGAGCCAATTAAAAAAAAAAAAACCCAAATCATGAAATCAAAATTTAAACAAACCCAGAAAAAAAGATTAAGAAACTAATAATCTTACAATCGGATGACATGGTTGTTGGAGTCACAGGTAACGTGGAACCAGGTGCAGGGATTGACCAGCGTTGGATCCCAGCTCTGCAGAACGTTGTTGACATCGTTGAATCTGCTTCTCAGGGCATGCAAAGCATTTCCTGAAAGAAAATTAAATCAGAAAAATACCAGGAAAAGAAATTGGAAGGTGAAAACTGACATGGGTTTTGGGGAATCATCCCGGATTCTGTCCCCTTAGAGTTTCTCAGCAACCAAACAGAGATTAACCCAGTGGAGGAAAAGGTGGGAAATTTGAAACGCAGAAGAGATATTATAAGATGGGTAGGAGGAGGAAGTACCTTCGGAGTTTGTGGAGAGCGCAGGAGAGAGAAAGAAGAGGAAGGTGAGAGAGAAAGGTAGTAAGGAGAGAGGAGCCATTGGAGAGAAATGAAAAAGCAGAGGAAATGGGAAGAGAGCTTTGAGAGGCAAGTAAACAAAACGAAAACAAAGAGAAAGAAGAGGAAGTGGGTTTGGTTCCAAAAGTAGTCAAGTCAAATATGATTTGTGGTGTGCGCTATGACTAGTATTATAATACTGTTTAAAGTCTTTTACAATTTTAGACTAGTAACATAGAGGTTCTGAGTTAGATTTTCATGTAACGAAATATTATTCGAGTCACGCTACGTGTAATTTTTGAAGAGATCATAAGAGATTTTACAAATGTGTAAAATTTTACGAATGAACCAACTCATAACATAATCAAAATTCTTAGTTAATGAATTTTTAGTTCAGAATCAAATGACTAATAATACAAGGATCATAAATTGCAATTTATGTTATGCTATGAGCGGATTCATAGTAGAGAAACTCCCAAAAATGTGACGGGCAATTGGAAGCAAGTGGGAAACTCATGCAATGGTCATGGCTGACTTGTGTACTACTGCGAAAGTCTGTGACTTGTGGAATGGGGAAGATGAGATGTCCTTGAAAGTTTGGAAACTTTGAATGCCTTGCCTGCCGCGTTGAGTGGGGTCCACATGACGGGAATCTGGGAAATTGAGTGAGACCAAGTCCTAGCTGAGCTGGTGTCACTTTAGAAGATTAATTACATAAAATGAGTTTACCGATATCTAACGTTTTTATTGAACAATGCATCATTATGTATAAGTTTTTCTTCGCATAAAAATACATTATTAAACCGAATGTCACGTAAGATTAGATGCTGTACTTCTTCGCATCTTCTCTTGGAAGAACCCTTATTGACAAGGGTGTGCGAACATAGGCTCTATTTAATTTTGTTGGTTGTTTTTATTTGATAAATAAAAATGCTCTGTAAAAAGTTAAAAGGTTGTGTAAAAATCAGTTTTCTATTGAAATCACAGTTTGAAGACTTTCTATTTCTAGTACGCAATGGTGTGTATAGTTGAATATTTGTCTATTGGATCATTGACCGCACATCTAATTACTCCATTGCATCATTTTGAAGTGCTTTTAGATGAAGCATTTTTTTTTGTTCCAAAATCACTAAAGTTTTTTTTTCGAGATTTATTTGTATTTTTACTAATAATTTATTCTAAAAACATTTTCAACCGAAGAGCTTTTAGCAATTGTAAAAACACTTTCAAATGAATTAGTACAATTTTGCACAATTCAATATATATAAAGAAAAAATTAAACACACGCAAATGTAAAAGCATAAGCAGAAACTGTAATTTGAAGATAATTAGAAATAACTAGTTTCAACAGACACTTCAAGTATATTCCTTTTCCTTTTTGAGTAACTATATTTTTGAATGCTACATAACCCAAATTTACTATATTTGTCCACCTCTTTCACGTAAGAATCTCTTTACAAAAATAGAAATGTGACTTTCACGCAATTTTTTACACACGTTTTTTTACTTAAGCCATCGGATTGAATATATCAAACGGAAGCATTAAACAAAGGTGTGTAAGAGGCTAAAAAGGTGTCCAAAAATCATTTCCCTTCTTACGTCATGTTAACTTTCGCGTCACAAGTGTATACACTATATGTTGATATCAGTTTTGTTCTCTTAGATCTCATGGTTTAAGAAGATTGTAATCACCCACTGTTTGATCCTCATAATAGGTGATAATTTAACTGTCGTACTTTCTTCTCTATCGTGGGATTAAACTAAAGGAGAATGAGCACATTTTTTTGGACGAAAGGGTCTAAGATGGACACAATGTGTTTTATATGCTCATTATCTTGACCGGCTAGAAAAATGAATTCCACTGTGAGAATTTGGAAAGAAAGAAAAAGATAATCGAGTTATAAAGCATTTTCCTTTTATAATTTATGGGTCACAAACTTAGAATATGTCTTTAAATAGCATATGATTTTAAGGACCAGTGTCCTTCCAGAAACACCTCTTCACTCAAAGGCTTGAGTAGAGTTGGACATTTCGTCTTTATTTGTTGGTTTGGTACTGCCCCTTGTTTTGAGCAAAGTTCCAATAAGTTTGCCTGACCATGAGGTAAGGTGGGTGGTTTCAAAGACTGCCCTAAACCCTATTAGTGCGTTCAGTCAGATTGACCAACAATATAAATGTACCACTCCGTGTGACGGACACATTGAAAAACCTCTCACAACAAGGACCACAAGAGCTAGCTTCAGCCGCATTTGAGACAAACGGACACAACCATCTATTTTTATGGGTCCGACGGGTTCCCCATAGAAAACGGGGTATTGACAAAATACAATATGATCAATGACTATGAGATGCATGGTCTCAGCCAGGATAATCAATGTGATCTAACCACAAGGAATCATCAATGTGATCTCTTCTCTCTACCATGTTTTCCTTTTTTGGTCCTCCAATTATGTCACTCCTCAGCTTTAGTACTACCAAATTAGGGGGTCAAATGATCACGTTAGGTGTAGTAAATGATCGAAACGTACCGAAAAATTTGACAAAATCACCAAATTGGGCCACATTGTGTAACTAAAGTAAAATTCCAATGAAAAAGAAATAAACAAAAGTGAAACTTGAATAGTTACTAACACTATATCTAGTGATATTTCTTTTAAAATAGAAGTTTTTAATGTTCGACTCTTGTAGTTTGTGCTTTTAGTTTAGGAAGTTTTAACGAAACATTCTCATGGTTGTAGTGCTGGTGTGATGGGCCTTTTCACTTTTTTTTCTCTCTGGGCTGGTCTTGCTGAATCTGTAATTAGGGTTTTGGCCCAAAAAAGGGTAGAAGATGGAAATTTTCAGCTACAGAGAAAAATGGAGGAGGAGCCGAGGAGGGAGGGAAAGCACATAAACTAGAGACTGTTTCGTCGTATCAAGTTCTGATTGAAGCTTTCAGTCTCACCCAATTATACAGGTAACACCAAATTTCGAACAATTTGTCTGAAATTTTAATTGAGAAGACGCATTTGGGGGTTTTTTTTTCCTAAAGTTTATAAATTTATTCTATGGTGATTCAGTTCACTATAGCGTAGTTGTACGATTAATTGATTCGGAAAAGCCATACACTTTTAACTACAGATTGAAATTTCATGCTGGTTTGGTTCAATCCAGATGCTCAAATTGTTTTGCATTTGATTTTTTTTTCTGGGTTTTTTTTTTTTTATCAGTGCATTTGCATATCTAATTCAGCTTCAATTTCCTTCATTCTTTATGTTTTGGTTTGTGGGTATTTTGCAGGTACTGGGTATTTTTTCGGTTTTTTGTTTTTTGACATGGCTGAGAGACAAGTGGTAGATCAGCAGCAGCAAAGTGATGCACAGATGCAATCTCCAACGGCTCCGAGGGAAGACATGGTTTCGTGTGTAATGGCGCTGGAGGCTGCTTTGCTTCCATGCTTGCCTGCTAAGGAGCTTCAAGCGATTGACCGCTCTCCCCTCCCCTCTCATCAGAGTTAGTACCAATCCCTAGCTCTACATGTCTTCTGAGGGTTTTCAAGCTATGTTGATTAAATGTATCTTTTTGGGTGCATTCATATTCGTTTCGATTGAATGTTTTAGCTCACTTTTACATTAATCAGCTTGGTGGTGATGTCTCAGGTCCGAATCAGATAACATCGAATGCGTTTTGTTGGCCCTAGGGGAGAATATTGTATATATATTAATATTAACATTAAACTGGTTAAACACACTAGGGTTTGGAGTTATTTGCATCAGCTTTGGCATAAGTTGTATTGCAACAGAGGAGTTGGGTGATTGGAAGAGAAGGATAGGTAGTTTATTCAAATTTGTGATGCATGGAGAACAATTGTTTGCTTGAAGACTCTTATTTTGTTTACGATTTAAGAACCATGGTTGAAATCAAATCTCAGATAACCAAGTGTCAGCGTTTGCTTTTTAGTTGGAAATAGCAGTGGAGGAAGAACGAAGTTGAAGATGGCATAATATAATTGTACTGGGTAGTAAAATTCATTCATGAGTGCCACAAGAGCTTCAATTCATATCTTATGATGGAAAAATTAGGTTCAAGAATACTGTCTGTACTTGAGATCCTTCTCTCGATGAAACTCTCTGTTCCTTTAATCTGATATTGTGTTGTTTCAGAATTATTCGTTATGGTTTTCGGTAAATCATGTTTACCCACCGAAAAAAAGTCATCTTTTTCATTGGCTACAAAATCCATGGATCTTTAATTTTACTTTTGTAACCAGGTTGGCATGACCTGATGTTTGAGGTGCAAGTAGTCAAATGCATAAGGAGAGTTTGTTATTTCATCCATTTTATCGAACCTTATGACTGTCACTCTCTCTAAATTAGTGAACGAAGTTGAAGCATCTTTTCTAATCCACACTAAATGACGGTGCACCAAGGTTATTACCTTTCTCTTTTGCATTTCTTCTAATGGTGTTCATTTTGCCCCTCCAGTTGATGTGGAGAGGCATGCCAGAGACTTCATGGAAGCTGCCAAAAAGCTTCAATTGTACTTCATCGGTCTGCAACGTGAGGATCAGCCAACGAAGGCTGAGCAACTAAGAAAGGTCATCTACAGACCATGTTGTTTAGCTTGTTGTTAGACTACCGATCAATGTTTCCTTAATGTACGTGCATTTTCATTTTTGCAGGAGATTGATGCAATGGAAGAGGAGTTGAGGATAAAGACTGAGATTATTAAGAAGCATGAAAGGTTGATCCAAGGGTGGAAAAAGGAGCTCAAAGACCAATTGGACAAGCACAACACTGAGCTTGAGAGGGTCTAGTGACTCGAGCAATACAATGGTAGTAATCTAACGGAATTCCGTTTGTTGGTCGATCATTTGGTAGCATCCGTAATGACCATCTCTCTGTGTTTCTTTAACATCTTTTGTAATTCAACTGTATCGTGTACAAATTATGATCAGTAAAGATTAAAAATGTTGATTCTACTGTCCATTTTGTTGCCAATGGTTCTTTCCTTGCTCTTTCAAAACTAGATCATGGTTGATGCGTCATCGACAATCAGTTATGGCAATGTCAGTAGTTTCGAGATCACGTACTTTCTAAAACTCAATCGGAGCCAATGTTGATCGGTGTTTAGATGAAATCCAACCGTAGATTGGATGATCAGTGTATAGATGAAACTTGATTCTGTTGGTTTAATATGGGGATCCAACTCCAATCTACCAAAATCAAAGAACCAAATAAATGATTTACCATTTACATAGACAAATTTCATTCTCCCGTTGCAATACAAAATAGCGAAAGCCATAAGAAAATTACTGAACAGAAAATAAAGAGAACCATGGTTCACAAATTTCACATTGCATTTACTAATATCTCCAGATCTTCCCTCCTTTTCTAATCGCCGGCTTTAATCTGAGAAAACCTTGTCTTGCCTCTTTTCCTCCTGTTCAGCTTTGATCCAAGCGGCCTACACAGAAATGGAAATACCCACGAAACAATCAGAATGTAAACTCTCTTTTTGCAGGAACAAAGCATTGCATTGCAAACAACACAATAAGTACAAGAAATGGAGATTTTACCTTATCACGTTCTAGTTTCGAAACATGTGGCCTCATGGAGTTTCCTAAGCTTAAACCACCCCATTGTTCTTGCAGTTCTTGGTCCCTTGCTTCTTTACGAGCCACAGAGAATTTAATTTGGTCTTCTGGTTGCTGAGCAGCAGCCGCCCTCTCTCTTGGTCTCAGGGAGTTTCCTAAGCTTAAACCTCCCCATTGTTCTTGCAGTTCTCTCTCCATTGCTTCTTTACGACTGACGGAGTATCTAACTTGGTCTTCTGGTTGCTGAGCAGCAGCATCCTTTTCTCTTTCGAGCCTTGATTTGTGTTTAATGAGAATTTGGTCCAAACCAAATGCTTCGTCTGCACGTGACTGCAGCTTTGCGTTACTTCTCTTCACTTCAGTTGCTTCTTCCTCTGCACAGAACTTTATCTTCTCTTTCTCCAGTCTGGAAACATGTTTTACCAAAACTTTGTCCAAGCTCTCACATTGGGAATCGCTGTTTCCTCCCTTTTTCTTTTCGAATTTATAATTGTCTTCCATTTCCAAAGCTTGCATTTTCTCCCTTTCCAACCTGTGCATTGGTTTGAGAAGGATCTTGTCTAGACTATCTTCAGTCTCTTTAGTTTCGGCCTTGTGAAGTGATTTTGTTTCACCTGCACTAGGTTTCACTTCTCCAATCTGCAGTGAAGCTTCAATTTCATTTTGCTCCATCGTAGAATTCTCTTCGACATCATTATTTAAGTCGATATTTTCTTTCCCCACCGATCCTTCCCCGGAACAAGAAGTAGCCTTTTCTTTTGGTTGTGCAACCGAAGTAGATGATTCAACTTTCTTCTTCAAATAAGGGAACCTAACTCCTTCATGTGTGTCAGCTTGCCTTCTGTTCTTTGCTTCTTGGACTTCCTTCTCAAGTCTTGAGACATGTTTCACTAAGAACTTATCGAGGCTGGGGAGTTCTGAGTCATTCTCTTTTTTGTGACTCATTGCAGATGTTTTCACAAAGTTCTTCTTGGCCGCCTCAACTTCCTTTTCAAGCTTCGAAGAATGTTTAATTAGTGTAATTGCCAAGTCAGGAATGGCTTCAGATGATATTTTGTTGCTCTGTGAATTCTTTTGAAGCATTTCAAATTCTCCTCTTGAATTTTTCTTCGCCTCTTCAATCTCCTTCTCAAACTTTGAACCATGCTTCAGAAGGATGCTTCCCAAGCCTGGAATGGTTTCTGAATTGGCCTTTTCGTCTGCAGTTCTGTTAGAATTCTCTGCAGTTCCTTCCTTCGACTTACTTCTATTCTTGGCTTCTTGCACTTCTCTTTCAAGCTTAGTCACGTGCTTAACCAAAAACTTGTCTAGACTTGGGAGTTCTGATACAGGTTGCTTCTTTCGGATCTGCCCATCTCTGAAGTACTCAGGCTTCACCGCTGCTATTCTTTGTGGAAGGGTCTCAGCAGCAGAGCCGGGATCGTGCAGCTTGCTTTCCGCTAAGGCAGCATTTAAACCACAAGTAGCAACTATAGTGGCAAGAGAAGAGAGTTCATCTTCTTGCAAACATTGAAGTCTCTCGAGCATCATGTCTGCTATCTTTGCCATATTAAGCTTACCAAAAGACTGCCTTCTGTTTTTCCTCTGTCTTGCCTCTAAATCTGGCATCTCGTTCTGATTCAAATCTTTGGAAATGATATTATCTTTCTGGGATAATGCTTCAAGTTCTGATCCAGATTCTGATTCACATTCTGAAGTAAACTCAGATAATTCATGATTAGTTTCAAGTTCAACTATATCAGTATCAGGGTTCTCACTAATCTTTCGAAGCAGTTCTTTAAATTCATCTTTATCAAAAGATGGGCAGTTTCCAAGCCGTACTAATGCAATCTTTACAGCTGCAGCTACTTCTTTATCCACCTCAAATGCAGTCTCAAAAGATGCTGTGACTGTGTGAGTAGTCGAACCTCCGCCATTAACAGTGGATGTTTCTATTTTACAGGGCTTCCGAGGGCAATTTGGCTTGTCATACATGATAACTCCCACGGCAGTTGCCTCTTCAAAAGCTTCAGCTGCAGCTTTATCTGCTTTCAACAGCTGGGCTTCAGCTTCTTTGCTTTGGATCCTGAAATGCAAAATACAAAAAGTTGTAATTACGAAGCTACCTCTTAAAGTTCAAATATTCATGTCTACAATGCACCCAACAATCACCTTGCTGCTTTAAGTATTCGACACCAAGATGCTTCCACCAATGCTGCTTTTCGTACCTCCATTGCTTTTTGTGCAGCTTCTTTTGCTGCCATTTTCTCCCTTAGGACTTTTGAGTAATGTGGATTAGAATCACCTAGAGTCTCATCGAGAGTTAAATTCATCCCATCTACTTCCTGTGAGAAGCCAATGATTCGGTATTTTGATTAACATGGAAATTAATCCAGATAAAATGCGGATGTTTGTTAAAGAGAGAAAGAGAAGCGAAACCTGCAGCATTTTGATCTTCCTCTTAAGATAGGAGTCCACTTTTTTCCGCGGAAACCAGTTCAGAGGAGAGGTTCTACGATGAGAAGGCTTCTTAATTTGTGCAGTGGATTTGTTAACAGAATTCAGCGTTGATAGGCTAGCCTCCTTCAAATTTCTATTCTGCAGTATTCAAACAATGAAGAAAAGAAGGATGTAAAACGAAACAAAACGAAAACAACAGGACTTCATAAAAAATCGCTATTTGGTCTCTAAATAAACACATAAGAACATCCAAACATAGAACACAAACACCAACTAGAAAGGCCAACATATTCAAATGTCAAGTTAAATAAACAAAAAAGCATGTTCAGCATCACAAAATGTAGATTAGGGTAGAGCCTACAAGGATTTTCCTGCATGAAAAAACAACTTCATCTCTTCTGCCAAACAAAAATTTACCTCTTTCTTAACAACATCCATGGTATGATTGTAATGACAAAGATATCTTATCAAGTGAAAGCCAAGTGAAATTAAGCAAATGAACGTAAAGATATTTGAATAAAAATAAAAATAAGGCTAAAACAGAATGCCTTGCTGGTGTCTAGGAATGGCTTCGATAGGACATTCGATTTAATGAATGTTGAATGAAAAAAGAATGCCAAGTTGCACATCTTCTCTGAGCGAAGGTAGAAGATGGATTAGCCATGAAGAAATCTTGTCCCACCCAATCCCCACCAAAAAGGTAGGATTACGATGGAGAATTTTCTTCATGGCCAATCCATCTTCTACCTTCACCTCGACAAAATATGCAATTGGGCATCCGTTTCTTCATTAAAGATTTAGTGAATTTAGTGAGTGATCCTAGGCCATACCAATCCGAGACACCAAACAAGGAGTAAATAGCCAAACTAAGTAAATATTTGGCAAAAAAAAACCCAAGTAAATATAACCAGAAATGGATAATTTATTTGTTTTCACTGAGGAAAAAACAACGATAATAAAAAATAACACTGGTTGGGGTCAAATTTTGAATTCACTAAAATTCAAGCAAACAGCAATTTCTAGGGCTTTTAAATTCAATTGGCTTCAATCCCAACAATGAAGAAAAAACCCACAAGGGTTTAGGGTTCTAGATAACCAGCAATTAAAGTCCCAAATCAAAGCCGAGCACGAGTCTTACATGCTAAAGATTCTAGGGTTTCAAATCCAAAAAAAAATTCAGTTCCAAACACAAATGGCGAATTCGGTGGACAGAAACAATCGGATCCAAGAAAATGGAGCAAGTCTAAGACAGTAATGGAGTCTTGAATCCAAACGGGGAAGTCGGAAGAATTATACCTTGCCGATCTTGGGGCTGGCGGAGAACTGCTCGGCGGCGGCGTTTTCTTTGTTGTCTGAGTCAAGAACGGCGTCTTTAGCGCGGTGCTTGTCAGACACGGAGATGCAACCCAAGTCCAAGCAGCCGAGGTCCATGGCCAACGATCTCCGGGACGAACAGGGATCAAGAATCGGAGTCGAAACCGACGAGAATTTGAGCAGAAAATTATGAGATCAGGGAGAAGATTGAGAAATATATTTTGGCGTTTTTGTTTGGCGATTAGAAATGGATGTGAAGATTTTGGTTTTGGGATTGCGAAGAGGAGGGGTTTATTGTTTCGAAATGGGAAGTAGCCGTTACAGTCTACAGGGCGTGTCTTTTGGCCCCCAACGCCAACGGTCCTTTTAATATCAGCTTTGCCTTAATCTGTCATTTATTTGTATTTGTGTGTGGTTGGATGTAGAACTGGTATTCGTGTCGTGTTTTCTGTATTCGTGTCGTTTTCGTGTCATACCTGATATCTTAATGGGTCGTGTCGTGTAACACCCGTTAAAATAAACAGGTAAAATGACCTGACCCGAAATTGACCTAATAATATTAACAGGTAATATAACCCGATAATAAGGAACTCTCATAATAAAAATAAATAATGACTAAAACTTTTTTTTTAAACTTATATAGAATAATAATACAAAACTATATATTTAAAATAGAATATATTGTATACATAAATATGGCTATTGTATTTTATAATAAATCTTTTAGTAATTAAACTTTAAAATTATCAAAATAATTTTTTTCTTAACGGATCGAAACAGGTTACCCACGTGTTACCAGTGTGTATACTCGTTAAGAACTCGTTATTAACAGGTTCTTAACAGGTCACCCGATAAATCATTGTGTTGATCAAAAACTCGTTATTTTCGTGTCGTGTTACCGTATCATGTAAAAAACTATTAGGTCTAGTTGGATGTGGAGGAATCACACATTTAATCACAATTTTGTTTTTTGTTAATTGCATGAAATTTGAATGTAGGATTTCTGATCTCGCACCACCCATCACGCCCCACTTGAGCTAAAACTCAAGGACGTAATATTTCATTATTATAACAACTCTACTTTTGAGCTATAATACTTCATTCTAGTCTCGTTGATATGAGTCGAACACATCATAATATGGATGTTGGAGCGTACATCGATTTTTCAACATTTCACTCTTAAGACACTGTTGCAGCGGAAAAAAATTTGAATGATTTTATTATTTTTGAGCGACATATATAATTTCAGTAGAACGATAGCATTAGTGGGTTAAATAGTTATTTGTTGGACCTATATCTATTTTTTTTAATGTTTTAATTGTCACTGAAATGCTTGGCAATCTCATTGATATGGTTTCACTACATCAAAATTTCGATTTTTTACGAACAACTCACGATTTAGAGTACACTAGCAAGTGTACCTGCGCGTTGCTGCGAGGTTTGACACATTGTTGAAGATGCACAAAGTCTTAAAAATATATGTGCCAAGAGTACATGATATTATATTCATGTTTTCGGATGTTCCTTAAAACCATGTGTAAGGAGTAGAAGTCGGCAAAATTGGGAATGTTAGTATATGCCTTAGCCATATGATGCTATTTATATTCACATATTACATGACAAAAATTGTGGATGTTGGTACGTAATCCTCAAGGATTTTATTTCAAAAACTATGGTCATATCCTAGAGAGTGTTTTATGTTTACTTACGTACAAAGTTCAAAAAATAAAGTTTTGTTCGACTATAGTACCCAAATCTGTAACCCTGTTAATGGCGTCTTCTTCGTTTTGTACGACAACATTGAATTGAAAATTAAAAGAAAGAAAATTAAAATCACGTGGAAAGATCGAAAATAACCAAACCAACATCCAATTTAGTACATACCAAAGAAAAACATAAGCAAGAAACCATTTCCAACTCCGCAATCATTAATCAAACACATAATACAATCGCACATATACCCTTAATCATTTATCAAAATTGAATTACTTATAACCAACTTAGCATGTGGCTTAAATCCATATTATGCAATGTTTATAGGACATCGTTTTCTATTGGAGAGACATATTCCTTTGTTTAATCTCCAACCTTGTTTTAGGCATAAAAGATAAGTAGCTCCTAATTAGGCAGTGTTAAATCCTAGCTCATGCATAATTGAACAATAAAAGCGATAGTATGATGAAATTGAATTCCCCTAAATTCGAACTCAAACAAGCAATCTAAGGTTGTTCAATTCAAAATCAAATCAAAGTGCTTTTCATTACCTTATCTTTTTCCTTCTTTTTGATGCGTAGAGCTGCTTAAGATAAAGAATGGCATGTCAGAATGAAATATAATCATGTATTGTTAGTAAAATTCACGAATTGCCCCCCGAATCGGTGCAACTTTTGGTCATGACTCACCAGTAAAAGACTATCCTCATTCTAATTTGGTCTTTTCACCCTCATAGCTGTTGTGCGCAGGAAAAGAAGGAAGAAAGAGGTAAGCGTAGACATCAAATAACATTAATTAAGCAGTGCCTTTCTGCTGGCTTTTAGTAGAAAGTAATTTTACATTTAGGTTTTTCATTATTTAGCTCCAAAGCTACACAAACATACTTCTATAACAAATGCCATTGTTATTGACCCAAAAAAACCCAAGTGCCATGTTTTCAAGTTAAGCAGCACCCGATCATCGGCCTGTACATCCAAGAGCAATCCTAGTGCTGCCTACGGCAAGAGCACGGTTCACTGTTCTGCATTGACTACGCTATGGACAGTTGTAACCACCAGCTCCCGAAACAACTCTTAGTCCATATCTTCTTGGTTTCTAATCCACTTTGTTGCAACCCACTTTTCCCCTTTGATCACCGGGCAGCTTCCGTGAAGAGATGTCTGCAATTTGCATATAATTTTAAGATGAGAGAACGCACCACCACAGACTCTTTGTTTAATCACCAGTAAGTCAGTAACAAGTCAGAAAAGAAGAAAACCGAAATGGCCATCCAATTTTCAAGCCCTAATTAGTTGTTGATCCTTTATATCTAATTACTGCCACCTCCCTCAAATTATATGTATGCGACAAAGATCAATTGTATAAACATTGGAAATTTGATTTAAGATATGATAAAGTAAATTACCGGATCAATTGTGCCGTTTGGAAACACTGAATAAAATAAAAGACCATCCCCTTGCCTGGGCATAATTTTTAAACCAATGCATTTCTTGTAATCATAGCTCGAACCCATCTCTGCACCGTTCTGCAAATTAAACAATAGGATGAGTACATGCAATATATACTACTTACATTTGAAAGAAATAGAAGATATATCGTAAATTTGCTAACCTACCTCATAAGGGAACATGGTTTCTCCACCTTCTTCTACATCGGATAGATACAACAAGAAGGAAGCAAACTGCAAAATTGAGTGTGATGTTGTGACAGTTGAGTATCAATGGTTCAAGAAAGAAGCAAAAGCGATAAAACATTGACAGAAAGATGAAAGCATGAACTCAAAAAACAATTTGCAAATTCTGCTTGAACTAATATCATATATTTGTTTCACATATAGCTTTAGCCTGATGTAAAGGTTACAAGAGAAGGGTCTATAACAAATACTCGTAAGTATAAGGGCAGAGATTGTGAAAGGCAAGGCTCAAATAAAATGGCAATTTCACCGCCATCCTTCAAGTTACTCAAATCAAGTACAGAAAGATGATGATAAAATGTTCAATATTTTGGATGTCAGTTCAAGGTGCTTCCCCCGATATTTTTGAAGCAACAGATGTACTCAAATGAAATAACAAGAAAAAAGAACTAACAGAAATATCATCTAATATCTATCCTTCGAAGACGGAATATAAAAAACCCATAAGTTGACAAACGCAACTGATTTCTTCAGAAGTAAAAAGGTTACTGTTCGTACAAATAAAAATTCATGTTGTGAATTTGACATAATGTTCAAGTAAGTCCATGAATATTGCTTATCAGGATACCACTATATAGATTATTGTCCGGTCCACAATTGTGGTGAAAAATTGCTTAGTTCTTTTTTCACATATGTATATTTCTTTGGATGGTGGGGGTCATTATTAGGTGCATAAACAGGCAAACTATCATATCAAATATCAGGGATCTTCTAATTGGCAGGAAGAAATTCCCAGTAAAAAACAGGGTAGAAAATGATAACACCGATCAGAACCCTAAACATTTGCAGCAAGTATTGCATGAAGGAAATGCTAGTTAAGTGTGTACTCTTTGGCTTTTCTGTTGACCATATTCCGTTGGATTGAATGCATCATAATGTGAATCATACTTCTGGCCAATCTCATACCGCAAAACGTTGAATGCCTGCAATATGATGATATCGCCGCATTACTCAGATTAATTTAGAATTTTCCTGTAATGAAAGGTTAGCATTATAAAAAATTTGTGAAACTAAAAACAGTATTAGATGCACTATTTTCTCTGTGCGAAAAGAAAATAAATGGTTTTTTTTGTAAAAACTGCTAATTGTAGCATTTAAAACCTATATGGACAATGAAAACCATCTGCTTAATGGCTTTGAAATTCAATTTACACTTATGCCTACCCCGAAGAATACATCATTAAAAAAATACCTCGCCATGGACTCTTTGTAACATTGTAGCCCTGGCAATCTTTTCCTCAATAATATCCAGGACTCCGCTATCATCTTCTGATGCACTAATAAATGTGCCTGAACTATAATCAAGTATACACTGACAGTTAATTTCACAAGTGAAAAGAAAAAAAAAATCTTTGTAAAGTACCTTCAAACTAGCATATACAACACTGATCATCACCAAAAAGTCCAATCACTGGTGATTTATTGTGTGCTATATAAGATATCCAAAAATTCATACAACATATAACTTGATGAAAGATGATATGAGAATGTTATTGTAAAGAAAGTGAGGTGGCAAGGTCCTTTCAGCAATTATCTTCCAAAACTTTGTTGCCAGAAATTTTTCTTGTGATCGGGTTTCATGAAACTTTAAAGCTGATAATTCACAAACTTTACAAAGATGCAGGCCCTTAATAGTTGATGAGGGTAAATTAAAAAGAAGACATATCCAAAATTAGATTCCTCTTCCCAATCCCGTCTTGATATACTTGCAAATAAGCTATTCTAGCATAACTATTGAAATTGTTAATGGTAGTTTGATAAAACATAAAACATGAACTCATGATATTGTAGTTCACTTAGCAAATTACAGAACAAAACATGTACTGACTCCTGAGATTAGTACTAGGAGAATAGCATATAATCTCAACTTATTAAATACGTACAAAAAAGTTCTGTCTGGAGAAAATAATCATATTAATGCATTATCTAATGCATATCACAGTATTATGATGACCCCATCATATCACCCTTGTACCCACTTGTCAAAACAGTATGAGGTCATTTTCTTGTACGAATTTGGATCACGGATTTCAATAAAATTCGAGGATGACAAACTTATATGGAATAAGATGAATCATGTAGACAATCTTTCCACCATTCGTCTCCAACAGTGATAACATAGAGTAAATGGAACCGCCTCGCTTATCATGGAAAATCACTATAAATAACAAATTTGGAAAGAAAACGTGACGAGTGAACACAACTAAAGATTATACTTTTTGATAATGAAGATGCTTATGGATTGTGCAACAATGGAGTAATAATTGAAAAGCTGTTCTTCCCTAGAGTTTTATGATTACCAAAACGTAACTTATCCAACAGCTGGGATTAGTTTGCCCCGTTCTCTTTCCTCCCTTACATTTTCAATCATTCTACTCTTTCTAAACAACAATAGCCATAATTGCAAACACAAGATTCAAAATTTCTGATTGACAAACCACATTATAATTTTTACATATTCAACTGCTCACCGTATCTAGACAATAAGCAACACGAAAAACGAAAGAAAAAGATACCTTGTTCGAGTCCCCTTTGTGCTCTCAGCAGTCTCTCCCTTTCGCAATGCCAGTGTGGACGGCCGGAGCTTCGTCTTCGCCATCTCAATCACGCTTTCGCATTGCTCGGCAGTTGCAAATCTCGGAAAATACAGAGCCCGCGGTCTCCAACTCAAAACCTGCAGGATTCAATTCAACAATGTCACCAAAAACCCAATAAAAACCCAAAACCCCAATTGATCGAATGAAGCAAAAAAAATGCGATTACTGATCACCTGGAATGGAATGGACTGAATAAAGCTGTCTCCGGTGTCGCCCGGCATCATTGGACCGTGATCTTCGTCGTCTTCGGATTCCAGAGTTCTGGAGACGGAGCGAGGGACGGAGGCATGGGAGAGGAGGGTGGAGATGAATAAACCGGCGAAGAAGAAGAGGGAGCAAAGGAGGAAGACGGTGGGTAAGCCCAACTTTGCTCTGGAGCTCTTTGCTTTCACTTTCATGGCGATTTTTCACATTTATTGAGCTGATTTGTTTCTTTCTTTGTTTTGCTTGTGTTTTCGTTCAAAGGTGAGCTGCGAGCGTCATGGGCTCTTGGGTCCTCGTCTTGACTGAAGCCCTCTACCTTCACTGGGCTATTTCGCTCTACAGTTCGACCTTTTGGTTTATTGTAGTTTTGTAGTTTTTGTAAAAGTCTAGTTTGTTTGGTTGTGTTTTTGAAAGAGCCAAAGTGCTTCTTAATAATTAAAAGCGCTTCAATTTTTTTAAAAATAGTCGTTTGGAAAACATTTTAAAAGTACTTTTAGTTTGAAGTAGAAGTACTAATAAGCATTTTTTAGAAGCAACTTCCTAAACGTGCTATGCAGAGAAAACAAGGGAAGCACTTTGCCCCATTTAATGACATTTTTTCAATTCCAAAATTATACTTACTTTTTAATTTGTAATATTTAAAATACCATTACACTTAAAAAAACATTAAAATGGCCATCACTAATGGAAGCACTATGCAAAAATTATTGAGAATTATAATGAAAGTGCTTTTTCATTTGACAACCAAACACTCTATTTAATATAAAAGCGCTTCTATACAATACAAAAGCACTTAGTTGGTTGCATATCAAACAACAAAATTGCTTCCTTCATAGAAGCGCTACTAAAAGTGCAACAATCAAAAAGTGCGAGTGAGTAAAAGCGCTTTATAATCCAAACTAAAAATTGATCACTTATGGTTCGCTAGGATTAGATTAAACAGAAGGTTTTTATTTTTTATTTTTTTTGGTCAAACAACTAATTTCACTAAAGATAAACACACACACACTAATATAAAGTAAGGCTATTCTGAAGACAATCCACAACACAGTAAAAGTGCGGCCCATTACAAAAGTAAGGGAAACAAGCACTAAAAGTGCGCCCAAAATAAAGCCTAAACCAAAAGCCCTAGATCTGGACATAAGAATCAACCGCTTCCAATAGTTGCACCACCATTGCCAAACCACCGCCACTGGTAAGAAGAACCAACAAATTGAAATGGTGAACGGAAAATGGGGGTGGACAAGCCCCTGCGCAAAATGCGCTTCCATAATCCTACCAAATAGTGTGAAATGCACTTTAGCAACCACAAAAACCCAAAGCATGCCTCCAACCGAACCATGGATGAAGAACATGAAAGGTAGAATAACCGAACCAAGTGGCAGCTCGAGGCTAGGGCTATGGGAGGAAAAAAGATAGGAAACTCAAAGATCTGCAACAAGATTGCCAAACGTTGAGACAAAACTCAAGGAAAAAACTCAAAGAAAGAAAAAGGGCCAAAGAAAAAGAAAAGAAGAGATAAGGTTTAGGGAAGAAAGAGAAGGGGAAAAAGGAAGGAGGAGATGGGGTTGCTACCGACCTCACCCAAGAGGAAGGGCCAGCGGCTGAAGGTGAGATTGATTTAGAGGTTCTAGGTTTGGGGAAGGGGAAGCGGCGCACTTCAGGGGATAAACAGAAGCTTGACTCCTCAATTTAGGCATGGCAACAGTTCGGGAAGTAAAGGCCATATCCATCTCTAAAACTACAAAAAATAATTATATTCAAAATCGTAAATTATCGGAGATTATTCATAATCATACTCACTAAGTAACAAGTTCCCCATCAACTAATAGTTGTATCCATATTCGTAAATGCAAAAATTATTCGTTCAACTGATATTATAATTGAAACTGATTCTAATTCTATCATTAAATACCCATCTCTCGTGTTTGTGTAAGAATGAACCTTCTTGAAATTATGTGGGAGCTTAGACGCTTTTCATGCTAATGATCAAAGGCAAAAACAACTCCTCTTTATCCTTGTCGAGGGCTATGCGTCCTAGACATTCAGTTGATAGTGAGATTTCTATTTTGTTATCCACACTTCCTAGATAGGTTGAGTTGCAGAGCCGGCTCCAATTAAAGCTTACCTTCTTAGTTATTGCCCGCCCAATGTTAGCATTCATATTGATTCTCATCCCTGGCCTTGAAAAGGTGGATACTCTCCTTCGCCCTAAAGTTCACAAGAAAGAAACATTAGTTCTTAGCACAAGCAATAAGTAAATTAACCTTGTAAACGTCACAACCGATGGCCTAAATCATCAAAAACATAACAATACTTTCTAGAGGTGTTCATGATAAGCCAAATATGATAGAAAAGTATGGTAAATTGGCCCATGAAAATGGAAAGGATGCATGAAAAAAGCAAAATCAACAGCCATTATGGGAAAACACAAAACAAATTATCAAATATACATATGTTAAATTTCAGGTAGACGAGCCATGGGCTCACTCTAACAACCGTCCCAGACATTTAGTTGATAGTGAGATTTCTATTTCGTTATCCACACTTCCTAGATAGGTTGAGCTGTAGAGCAGGCTCCAATAAAGGGCTTACATCTTGCCTATTGGTAGCCCGCCCAATGTTAGCATTTAGATTGATTCTCATCCCTGTCCTTGGAAGGTGGATACCACCTACCTTGCCCTAAAGTCACAAAGAAAGAAACATTAGTTCTTAGCACAAGCAATAAGTAAATTACCTTTGTAAACGTCACAACCGATGGCCTAAATCATCAAAAACATAACAATACTTTCGGGAGGTGTTCATGATAAGCCAAATATGATAGAAAATTATGGTAAATTGGCCCATGAAAAAGGACAGGATGCATGAAAAAAGAAAAATCAACAGCCATTACGGGATAACACATTAATATAAATATGTATGTTAAATTTCTGGTAGACGAGCCATGGGCTTACTCTAACAACACCGATACTGTCCCCACTTGGCCACCCTCATCCATTAGGTGTGTGATTTTAATACAAAAGGCCTCAGTGTTTGTTAGAGTGGTGTAATTCTATATAAAGGGCTTGTTCTCAAGCCTCTTGGCAAATGTGGGATAGAGGAATTCTAACACTCCCCCGCACATGAGACATTTTATGGGTTCACACGTTACAGTTCCATCGGCAACCACGTGGAGCCAAGCCGGGCTCACCTCGCCACGCACAGGGGACCCACCTGTTCACACAGGATCTCTTGGCCTACGTAGAGCCAAGTTGGGGCTCACCCATTTGTGCAGGCTCAAAAGGGACCCACCCATTTGGCAGTATGGGCTCGTACCTTGGCTCTGATACCATCTTAAATTTCAGGTAGACGAGCCATGGGCCCACTCCAACAACACCGATACTGTCCCTACTTGGCACCTGCTCAATCCGTCAGGAGTGGGGTTTTAATATAAAAGACCTCGGTGTTAGTTAGAGTGGGGTAATTCTATTTAAAAGATTTGTTCTCAAGCCTTCTGGTCGTTGTGGGATAGAGGAATTCTAACAACATATATGCATATACAATATTATTTTATATTATTCAGAGAGAGTCCGGGACGAATATCTAAGGTAAAGATATAAACTACACCATTATTTACATGGTAATGATATATATATTATATGACACTTTATGATAATGATATATAATATAGATTGAAAACTTAAGAGTGTGTAACTTTATTTCCAATAATTGCTGGAATAAACCTTTAGCTAACAAAATATATAGTATTCCTCTGCTGATGTTTGATAGGGATGATTCCATATGTTGGGGCTTGAATGACAATGGAAGATTTAATGTTAAATCTGCGACCTGGCTCTAAAATAATGTAACGAATGATGTTCGGTTGCCTTTTTATTCTGGAAAGACTGCAAACTCGTTATCGACTTCATAAACATATCAATTCCATTTATCCTACTAATCCCATGTGTAATGTGTGTTGGAGCAATAATAGAAAATATGAGAAATAACAATATAATTCCAATGATAATAATCATAAAGAAATTTCACAACATCAATTATATATGAGATTAAATATAAACAACTTAAGAGGAGTTAGAATAACTGACAAACTTGGAGATTGAGGCTTGCATAAATGCAATGTAAAGAAGATAATTTCGGCTCATACTCTTGTGCTTGTAGTTCGGTTATCCAGGATTTCCAATCTTTTAAATCCCAAGTCAAAGCACTTCAATCTTCGGACTCTGGCGAACTTTATATATTCCGTACTCTCAAGACACGACTCGAATTTGACACACGAATCATTTGAGAAACAGTGGGGAAACCCCATATTTCAAGAGTAAAAATTAATTTCTAATAGTATATATACCAATGGTTTCTGGAGTAATATATAGAATATCCTACTATTAAAAAGAAATGTAACTTTCACTATTAAGTATACATCACTTATCAAGAATATCACTTAACAACATAACCTTTCTAAGAAATTGGTTAACACTATTTTTCATTCAATTATTAAAATTATATATTACAATATTTCCATATATAATATATATAATTTTCACAATCCCCCACAATGAATGAAAAATTTAGAAGAATTTGAGAGTACAGGCGGAAAAGAGATGCATCGAGAGGTGGTGTCTTTTTGGACTTGAACCTACCTAGTGAATACTTATCGGATTTTTACTTGGTGACGCAGTTGAATATAAAATCTTGAACTGTTCACCGCAGTAGTTAAACCTGACAAATAAGCAACACACATCACTAATCCTCATATATACGTTTCATACGGTTGTGTTCTTTTGGAACAAATCCCGGATTTCATGAAAGCTTTAGAGAATTTAGCCATCTTATTCTCATAGAAGCGACCCACTTCTACTCTCACATAGGTGACCACTGATTTAAGAATAGTATGCTCTATTCCTCTATTTATAAGATAGTCAATGTCATTAAGTTAAATATACACTAAAACGTCTGCACAACACACTTCTTCCATCATAGGAATGAGGTATATAGTGTGTTAACTTCTTTGAATCATGCCCAACCAGTTTGCCTATTGAACTTAGACCATGGATCTCAATCAAACTAAGTTAGGTTTCCGCTTTGGCTGATTCATTAGTTATGGGCTTGAGCCTCATTCCCTCGATGATCAACTTACTTTTCTAGTCTAACCTTTAATAATTGGATCTACTACTAGGTTGACTATTTTTAATGGTGTGCACAATCCATCTTATGAAATTGTATTTCTCATATAAGAGTAGTTGTTTTGACATTGTTGAAATGTTCAAAGCCTTAAAATTGATATTAGGAAATTACATAATGTATTTGCTAACACTGGGGTAAGGTC